CAGTGATAACTTGAAAATCTGGCAATCATCCTAACTTATACAAATTAGTCTTTCTCAATCAAATTTGTAATTTAACTAAGAATCACAGTGGGAAAGGTTTTACAAATGAATATAGGAGTACAAAGGATTAATTTAGTAGTATGTATACCGAAAGTAAGCACCCCCTTTGACTATAGAGAGGGATGTAACTTATCTAATCCGAGGTATTATCTGCCAAATATAAAAAGTATTTCAAACGGTTTAAGAGTTTTTGATGAAATGCCGGAATTATTTATTTCCGAGGTAAGCAATTGTTGATGTTATTAATTAAAGTGATATTTAATTTGACTATTACTATGTATTTTATTTAATAGTTCAGAAATCATGCCAAATGTTCGTCGTATGCGTCTTTCCTTAACATTCATGGAGTCACACAAGACCCAGAAACAAAAGAGTACATGATTGTTATGCAATATGCTAACAATGGTAGTCTTTTGTCTTATTTGGATCAGAATATTAACAAATTGACGTGGAGGAAGAAATTAGAGCATTTGCATAGAATTACACTTTATATGGATATTATCCATCGCATGGGATTAGTGCATCGTGATCTTCATGGCGGAAACATTGTTTTGCATGATAACGATGATGAGACAAGATCATTGATATGCGATCTTGGTTTTTCTCAATCAGTGAACTCACGTAAATCAAATTCAACCATTCATGGTGTTTTACCCTTTATTGCACCGGAAGTCTTCCATACCCGCAAATTTACTCAGAAATCGGACATATATTCTTTTGGTATCATTATGTATTTGATGGCCACTGGTGAATCACCTTTTAGAGATAGGCAGTTCGACAGAGATTTAGTATGCAACATTATGGGCGGACTACGACCATCGATGCCAGAATCCGCACCAGAGGAATACAAGAAACTTGCCGAGCAGTGTTGTGATGCTGATCCTGATAAGCGTCCAGATGCAAACACACTTTGGATAAATATTTACATGTTTACTGAAGAGTTAGATAAGAACCATTCTGATGACAACACGTGGAATACCATATATCATAATGATGTAAAACCCTTATCGCGTCTTGAGAAGGAGAGCAAATATTCTAGTACGCTCTTACCTACTGGAAATCTGCCTAAACCAAGCAATAGCTATCATCAGTTACCTCCCTTATCAGATTTCAACTTGCCAAGTTTAGAGGTAGAGTTAGGGGAGGTTGATGAGGAGTAAGGGAGGTAGTTCGGACTTCATGGCGGTTGCGAAGACAAAATTAGTCTGTTCATATAAATGAAGTCAATTTACAATATTAACATTGTCCACTGCTTGTGACTTTGTGACTCAAACATCTTTGAATAAATTTATGATTCACGGTTATTTACAGGTTGTACGAATTCTATTCAAGGAATAGGAAGGAAATTAAATCGGTGGTTTTGGAGTTAATACCTTTATTTATAGTGCTAATTTTTGTACGTCTGTGGGTCTTTATCACACTTATTATTATACTAAATCTGAATTATCTAGAATGGATTACTTCTCTTCCAATTATGCTTCCATATATGTCAATATGGTCGAGTTAAAAAGATAATAAAAGTGTGCACGTTTACTGATGGCTGTAAATCATTTGAATATATACAGAGTGCATTATTTAACGTTTATGAAAGTTTGATACTATTGCAGCACCGGCCCGGATGAAAACAATTCTTTCCGCAAATGTCCTATGCAGTCGGCCAATAAGGCAAGATTTTCTTGCCCAACTCTTCACCATGGATGGTATTTAAAAAGCAGAGCCCGTGCCTGTTCGAAATCTTCCAATTGAAGAAATTTCCGACACTCCTGTAAGAACTAAAACCTTAGTTTCATCCACTTCTTATCGACGGTATTAACGAGAGTGATGAAGAATGAATCCAAAAATCAATGTTTTTACTTTACGATTGCATAATAAATATTTCTCTTCGATATAGGAATAGCGGTTTCTCAGCTATATTGAATATTACGAGGGAAATAATGTGGTTCAGAGTATAAAAACTACTAGTTTACTAATGATAAATATAATAACAAAGGAATCGAATGTTATTAATAAGTAAAAAAACGTGTTGCTTACAAAACAAAAACAATTATTTATGGTTATTAACCTTCTATTGAGCGTGTTTGTATCAGCAAATTTGCTTTATTTCGTTTATTAATTTTCAAAAAAAAATTGATTAAGGAAGTAATTTAGAAGTTTGTTTTTGTAGACCTTAACCCAATAGAAAATATGTGGTTTATTATAAAGAACAATGTTGAAAAAGAATGCCCAAAGATGTAAATGAATTGAAGCAATTATGATAAAGAGGGGGAAAATTTTCTCAAGAAATAGTACAAAATAATAGTTCATCTATGAAACGGGGATGTGCAATACACAACGGCGATAGAATTACATATTAAAAATTTTTTATATTAATAAAGCAGCTTATAACCTTTCAATAAGCCTAAATTTATCTAATTATGTTATATGGTTGTAGACATAATTTTTTGTTACCACCATTTTTTTGAAACACACTGTAAACCTGTTCTTTCTTGGACTCATAAGTTGAATATAAGGCGTTAACTGATACCACAACGTGCGGAATGCATCATATTTAAGTGTCCTGCGATAAAATTGCGATAGACTGACTTATAGCTCGTGTCGGCTGGCAAGAGTATAAGTGATTGAGTAATTTACAGCTGTAGCAACGTCTTCATTAATGGTTATTTTGGTCTTCTATCGCGGTACTTTTTTACATTTCCCATGAGAATTCTAGCATTGCATCTCTTAAATTTGCGTTCTCTGCGTTTTCTTTTGCTGATTCTTCTAATTCTGTGATCCTAGTTATAGTCCTGTTTTGATGTATCTACTTCGGATAAGGCTACAGGCTTGTCTCTTTGATCTTGCCTGTTAATCAAAAGTGGATTTCTACTGGCCACATCTTGAAAAATGGTTATTAGTCTACCATCTTTTAATTTAATTAAAATTATTTTTATAAAAAATTTTTTTTCGAAACAATAAAATAATAATAAATAAAGGTAATTTTTCGTAACACCGATGCCCCACTTTTTTACTAAGGGTTTGAGTAATTCTAGCATGAACTCTTTGCTTCATTATTTTTCTTATCTTGTATTGGAAAGCTAATAATGTCTTCGCGAACCCCAATTGGCATGAAGTATTGGGTAAAGTCTGACCATATAAGCCTTATATCTAAGCGTCAAAACTTGTGCATTAACTAGAAGGAAGTTATCGCGATTATTTAACGTCACGTCGAATTTCTGAATATCTCTCTTTTGCACATTATCATCAGATAAATTGATAGCAAATTTAGGTATTTATATCGAATCTAGAAGAGCCTATGTCTTTCTGGGTACGTATTGTGCGACATCATGTTTGCGAGTAACAGTTCCGTATAAGAAGCTTCGATCCATTGCACTAATCTTCCATAAGGAACACACCATCTGGTAGCACAGTATTCCTCCAAAGCCGTTCATTAGTTCTTACAATAATATAACATTCTTACTGTGGAGACTAATATTAATTATGACGTATATTCCTCCTTTGATCGGAGAATGTCGCTATGTCAGGCGATGCTATCTCATTCAATTTCAGCTCAGATCGGTCAGTACTATTACACAAGCCGCGTACTAGTACACAATTTACGATCTTAGTAAGAAATTCAGCAGCATACGTTGTCAAAAATTGAACATCAGTATTTTAATTAGATATACAAGAAGCGCGACTTTCCAGTAGAATTCATAAGGTCCCAAAATGTTCGACTTAGTGTTCACGTCATGTTCAATTAATATCCTTCCTAATAATAAACGAGTAATTCTTTATACATTATGAATTATTCGTACTTTGTAATTATCGGTATAGTCGTGAAACCGCCAATCCCTATATCGATTAGAATATCCGCCTCTTGTCCCGTGGATATTGTCGTGGCATTACGATTGTTATTCGCTTAACATGAGACGTATGTTTGAGTAGATACAAGTATATCCCAACCTATAGGCTTCTGAATTAATCCCATCAGAAAGGCATAGTCAATTAACTCGGTGAATAACCGTCGAGGATTACTGTCCATCGATCTACACCAGGTAGAAAAGTCTAGTTAGAGGTCTTAACTGTCGTTATCTTTAAAGTAGGTGAAGCCACAGCTTCGTTCGAGAGGTAACTAAATTCTTCTCCTGCGACTGTTGACTCGACACTACCATCTGAATCGGCAATTACACCTTTATTTGGCAAATATGACTATTTTCAATCGTAAGTAAGATTCCAGAGCATTTAATTCAGCTTCCTCCATATCTGATTTCAGTAACCACCGCATAACCTTAAAGGCAAACAATCTTATCTCTGATATACAGGATTTAACCTGCGTCGCCAACACTGATATATTAGTCGCAGATAATGCATTTTAGAAAGGATAGTGTAATTTCTCGGTTAGGACTTTCTAGTCAGCAACAAGGGTTAGATACAGTTTTTAATAAATAAGACCCTGTAAATATTTGATACTGCCTGTTCCACAAATTGCATTTGGAAATTTACCGTAAATATTTTAGGCAATGTGTAAAGATTATCCGACATAATCATCAACAAGATTAAGATGCTGCCAAATCTTATTCTGAAGGAATGTTGATTTCGCTCACAAACTAATGGAGATAGAAACATTCTACCATGCTATATACAAAAGCCAAGCATTAATATAAGCTAAATCGTAATTTTGTCATTAGACTTTTAGGTTTGTTACACCGCTTCAATATGGGGGATATTTGGGGAAACGACCGCTCCTTGTTAATTGACATCATTGTTTGCCTAAATTGAAATTCCAGTAATCGGAGTCGCATGTGATTGCAACGTGCACCGCTTTGTGCACTTGATTCATCTCATCTTACAAATCATCTGTTTCACTCGTGATGCCCCAAATCCAGTATCAAAAAAAATTGCATTCTGACTTTTTCCCGTAGAGAAGAACCGAAGTACTACGCAGACGCCCATCACCCATTATGTCTGCTTCGTTTAACAATGATACCCGTGCTGCACGTCGGCATTCTCTGGCTGCTGAGAGTCCCACTTCTATAGCTAATGGAAGATCGAGCCTGTCAGGGGGTAGATTGACAGCCAGCTATCCTCCCCTCGTCTCGTCGCCCGAGAGCTCCGAGATGGGCGGACTTGAACGCTCGTCAGTGGGAGTTGACCAACATGCTTACGCTGGCAAGTGCAACCGACTGATGAATCTGCTCGGTGGCACTTCTGCTCTCTTAAAAGGCCTTCGCGAGAATAACGATCGCTGGCTTATTCTGTATCCACACCAGACTTCGCCAAAAATCCAGCGCGCTCAGTCATTCTCGGAAAAAGGTAACGCTCGTTATCCTTTAAAAAGGTCAAACAGTTTTTCTGCCCCACACAACGGAGATTCCGACATTATGGATGAAGACAGCCGACTTGTGACGAGCGTAGATACCCTCGAGTTTCATACCCGCCTAAATGTGCTCAAGCTGGAAATGAAATCACACGACCATCAATCGACAGAGGAAATTATGGAAAGTCTCGAAAAAAGTTCCATTGCTGAGCTTCTTAACAAACGCATCGATAAGAGTCTAAAACATCTGACGAATCTCCACGCTCGAATTGCCGATAAAAGTTCAAAAGTTTTGGTTGCTGGCGACCTCAATGCTGGAAAGAGTACTTTGGTAAATGCTCTCCTTCGACGACAAGTGTTACCTGTAGACCAGCAACCATGCACAACAATGTTCTGTGAAGTCTTGGATGCTCGTGAGAATGGTGGAGTCGAAGCTATTCATGCTATCAAAAATATTGAATCTTATAATCGGGAAGACCCTGCAACTTTCACTGAAATACAATATGCTGACCTATATGAAACTGTTTCTGAGCACGGTGACATCTATAAACAATTGAAAATTTATTGTCGTGACCGTCGCATTTCGGAAGAAAGTCTGCTCCATAATGGAGTTGTGGATATTGCGTTGGTCGATTGTCCTGGACTTAATAGTGATTCATTAAAAACAATGGCCGTTTTTGCAAGGCAAGAAGAAATCGATGTAATTGTATTCGTTGTCAGTGCGGAGAACCATTTCACTCTTTCGGCAAGTTTACAATCTGCTTACAGTTTTAGTTTATTTATTTAATAAATGGTAATTGATTATTAATAATAATTATCCCATTATAGGCCAATCAATTCCTACGAAATGCTTCCAATGAGAAAGCTTATCTGTTCATAATCGTCAATAAGTTTGATGAAATCAAAAACAAGAAAAAATGCGAGAAAATAATCTTGGATCAGATTCAGCAAATATCACCGAGGACTTACGAGCACAATGAACATCTCGTTCATTTCGTAAGCGCCAATTCCATCAACCTCGACAATCCCTACGATCAAAAGATTGCTGAATTTGAGAAAATGGAGGAAGACTTGCGCAACTTTGTATTGAAGAAACGATCAAAATCAAAATTAGCTCCCGCTGAGCATTACTTGAGTAACGTTCTTGCCGACATTACAGTGCTTTCCGAGTATAATCATGGCAAGGCTGAGGAAGAATACCAGAACGCTGTCTCAGAATTTAACGAAGCCAAACCGCTATATGATACATTACGCATGAAACGCAATCAAGTCATCGAAGAAGCAGAAAAAATTGCCGAAGATACAAGTGCGAATATCCATAAATATACCAAAGAAAATCTTGAGAAGGCTATCAATGGAGTTCATAAGTTACCCACAAAATGCGAATGGTCTAGCATCCTCTATGTTTGGCAGTATGTTCTTGAAGTCAAAGACGAAGCACTTGGTTCCATTGAACAGGCAACGCGAGAGAACGAAGACTTTGCAAAGAACATGACCGCTGAAGGCACTGAAAAGATTAAATCACTAGCAGATGCCAATCAACTAAGCGGAGAAGCTCGTCAAGTTAACATTAGCAAGCTATTTGGTAGACAACCCACAGAAATATTAATACACATCGGACCAACTGATCTCTTCGATATCGATTTCGAATTCAGTGACAAACTTGGCGAGAAGCTCAGTGATAAACTACAGATGGCCACGCTTTCGGGCGGTGCATTGGTGGTGGTAAGTTGGAAATTGAATGCGTATACCAATTACATACGACATGTTATCTAAAGATGATCGTTTATACAGGTTGCTAGTAAATACCTCGGCTATAAATCAGCCTTAACTACTTTATGGCGATTTGGAAATTTTGTTGGCTTTGATAACATGAAAAGGTTGGCTATCCCAATTCTTCTCTTAGCAGGTACGTACTGGTGTTGCACATCCATATGAAGCAGTCTGTTTGCTAGTTGCGCTCGTCATTTCACATCTAATGCAAATTCTTCTTAATATGTTACGCTTGAAAGGTGCTGGAACTACATACTACCTCTTCAGTGACATGCAACGCGTTGTTACCGGCAAAGTACGACAGAAGGTTCGCAAGCATCTTATGGCTGAGAATTACGCTGACGAAGAAGGCAAACGTTTAGCTCGTTACGGGCGTAAAGTGATGCGCAAGATTACCAATGATCTTCAGATCCGTTTCCATGATGCTGTCCAAGAGCAAGAGAAGAGGTGCAAGAGGTTGCGTGAAGCGTTAAAGGAAACAGGCGAGGCTAAGAACTACTTTGGTGACGTATTCAAGAAATCCATAGAAATGTCAGAAACTTTGAAATTTCTCAAGATTGATTTAGAAGAACGAGAGCAATTGACTGTGTTTTAAGCTATTCGACAAAGTTAAGCATCTGTACACGTATTACAATTCTATATCAATTATGGTTTGTGCAATGTAATAATTATTGTTTCAGATTATCTAAGGATTTCAAAAGTTCTGAGGCAAGCAGCTATTTCACCCATTTATTGTATTAAGTTCAATTTTGGTCATTAAATAAAAGAAGTTTGTGTATATTTTTCCCGCAGATTTTCGTAGATCACGTGTGTGATACGTTGCACAATTAAATTAAATTACCACGACAACAATTATTATTATTATTATTCCAATAGTATACTTATTAATATATTCACTTCTATCCGTGTCATGGATGAATTCGACGATATCGCGCTAAGGGTACAACAAAAGCTTGACGAGACTTTTGCAGTACTCAGGAAACAGCCTTCTTTGGTTCGGCGTGACAGAGATCTTCCTGAATTACCAGAGTAAGAGACTGTTCTGATCTCTTTTCATTAATGACTCGGCCCGTTATAACGGACACGATCTTCTTCATAGGCCTAAGCGTATAAAGCTTTCGGACAAGTCTTTTCCCTTGGAGGCCGTTCATAGGCCCCTAGATCGGGATGATTTCCTGAAGCGAGTAGCTACTTTCGATATATCCTTTTCTGTCATGTTAGCTTATCAATAGTAGTATGTGCTTCTTCAATCCCGTATACTTTTCCTTAATTCTCTATTTACACACATTAACATGGCTGCTCAAGCCAAATTGCTTGGGTCCACTGGAATGCGCAAAATATGGTTGGATTAATACAGATCAAGACGTACTAGAGTGCAAGTATTGTGGTAGTAAGCTTATGGTGCGATTACCGAAACCAGAGACTGTAATAGGACGTAATCCAAGTAAGCTGTCTATGTGATATTTACGAGTTGTAAATTGTGGCAGAATCTCAACATTATTGTTTATATGAAGGCTATTACACCCAAATCGAACAAATGGAAAATCAATTTGTCTTTCAACTAAATTCTGCACATATTGTTGGTTGTCCTTGGCGGGATCAACCATGTGACGGTACGTGTATTGCTTTCGCCAACAAATTGTAAGCGTCTACGTACTGACACGCAGTGTATGTATGTTTGCAGACTCCATTTACAAGTTCCCGATTATGCATCCATCCGAAATTCTTGAAGATTTCAGAAAACGAGCTACAGCACTCATAGAATTGGGAGATAAGCTGCCTGTCATTGATGTTGACTTTGTACGGAATTATGTTCTTGACGTTTATATATTGATTACTATATGTTATACTTACCTTTATTATATTTGATATCTTGCATAATAGTCTGAGGAATTAATACAAACGATCATACAAGCACTTTCATTGGACAAACCTGTTGATGCAAAGGTTGCCCTAGCTGCTGGATGCCTCTCAATATTTGGCTATGAGCTGCATAGCTCAAAGCTTGGAGAAATGGCTTTGTGCAGATTTTGCTTTAATCGAGTGCCTTTACATATGTTCCGAAGTCTAAGAAGACAAAGAGAGCTTGGACTCAACGATCATCGATTAAGAGGCGTTGTTTTAGTTGATGGACTCGCTGTTGTCGCAAACAATTCGGATGACCGAGTTTTTAATCTTCAACGTCAACACCAGTGGTGGTGTGCATGGCTCACAGGAAACGGCAAAGAAATTAAAGAAGTTACAGCAGAAGAACTAGAAAATAGAAAGCCAGGCTGGCATGTAACTCTAGAGTGTATTATAAAATATCCAGCTACTACTGGCACGGAAGAAGATTCGAAACAGGTAGGGGAAAACTTTCTGTTGACTTGATTGGGATTGTAGCAATGCAACTAAAATGTATCAATTTATGTGTTTTCCAGAAAGACGATCGCGCAGAAAATATTCGTAATATACTATCACCCAAGCGAAAACTAACAACTAATCAGTCTACTAACGTTACTGAACGAGTGCAGCCAAAATCCATAACTAGACTTTCTGCAGGCATAAGTAGCTCACAAATAATCGAAGAATCACGGCAGATGAATACCGTAGGTAATCTGGTCACAATACCTATGGAAGTGGATCAGGAAAGTCACCAATTGCCTGAGCAATTTGATCAAGGGAGTCATCAATTGCCTGAGCAGTCTGATCAGGGGAGTCATCACTTGCCTGAGAAGTTTGATCAGGGAAGTAACCAATTGCCTGAGCAGTCTGATCAGGGGAGTCATCAATTGCCTGAGAAGTCTGATCAGGGAAGTAACCAATTGCCTGAGCAGTCTGATCAGGGGAGTTACCAATTGCCTGAGAAGTCTGATCAGGGAAGTAACCAATTGCCTGAGCAGTCTGATCAGGGGAGTCATCAATTGCCTGAGAAGTCTGATCAGGGACAAACCGTTTTGACGCCGGTTAACGAAAATCTTCAAGACCAGAATCAGGAAGCCGATGAAAGTTTGCAGTCGTATCTGCAGGTCGCTACGAACAACGAACAGGTTGTATTTGAAGCGTCAGATGATCATGAAGAACAAGAACTCAATGATGGACAACGACAACCTGCAGAATTAGAGGGTATAATTGACACGCAGGAAATATTGGCTAGCATGGGCGATTTAGGAGCTAGTCCTGTGATATCAGGAGACACACCGTTGCCTTTTACTCCAAGTGCTCTCGAAATACCAGACGTATCAGAAGTATCATCTCTGGCAACCGTAATGGTTGACGATTCTGTCGAAGTTCAAAGTGGGCAAGTTACAACAGAAACCGCCCCACTGGGGAATACGACCGAGAATACGACAACCAGCTCACAGGTTCATGAGGATGAAGGAACGAACAATGAGTTTGCTAGCATATCGACAGCCACAATACAAGTTTCTGAAGTTGAACAAAGAGTTTCAATGGAGATGCCTGATGAAGAAGAGGTCGATAAGCCAGTAGAGAGGATCGATGATTCTGCGGAAAACGAAGGATATTTTGAGGAAGAAGACCGGATAGAACGAATAGAGAGGGAAGACGATGATCAGCAGTATGATAACGACGAGGGAAAAGAAGTTGAACACAACGTAGAAACAGAAGAGGAAGAGTTAATACACGAAGACAGTTATTACGAAATCGATAAAAATGATATGGATGTGGAAGACGAAGCAGAAGATGATGAAGAAGATGAAGAAGAAGATGATGATGACGAGTCGATGGATCACGAAGATGCGATTGGTGACAGTGTAGAAAATGCAGTAGTCATTGATGATTCCGATGAAGAACCTGCTTCGCAAGTTATGATTGAAGATGAAGATTATAGTCGGAACTCAACAGCAACATTTCTTGAGGGCACTGTTTTTCCTGGACAAATACTTGATTTTCACCCTAACCAGTATCTGACCGAAGAAATAGTAAGGATAGAAGAAGCACTATATGAACATCAGGCGGATTTTGGCACTGAAGATAACGGTACACCTTTACATTTCGGCGGTCATCTGCAGGATGACCGTTCTACTCCCGATAATTGATTTATCATGTGATAAATTAGCTTTATGTGATTGGTTCCAGGTACATGCACAATATAAGCGATAATGTAGAGAATAAAATAATGTATTCGCGCTTTGAATGTCAATGCGCTGAGGAAAATAAACAAAATAAACTGTATACAGTCGTCTCATAGGGTTCTGCAATAAAGTGCATCGCTTTCTGGTTTATACCACTTCAAATGCGTAGATCGCTTTCCAACTCTTGGAGAAATTATTCAGGTCGAGATACGAATAGCTCGTCAACACCACCTTTTAATGCGTCTGAAACTACGATCGCTGAAGTAGAGAGTAAAAAGGAGGAGGAGGAAAGAATAAAAACCTCAGGACCATATCCGTTATCTAATAATTGGACTTTTTATCGTGATAAGTAAGTTGCTAACAGCGATTATTATATTAGAGAGTAAGACTATGAGCGCGTGGGTTACCGAGTGGCCAGTTAAGTTGTGATGCATGGCATTGTGTCTTATTGTGAGTTTGTATACCTCGCGCTTGTTGTTGTCAGGCTCTCATCTTTATGTCTGTACTTTGCTCATACGAAGGTATGTTGCAAATGCTACTCCTGAAGAATATGCTCAAAATCTAGTAGTCCTTGCGACTGTAGCGACCGTTCAGGTACTCGTGCATAACGCTCTATATGCTCTATACTCTATTCTTTTTGTTTGCGGATTTAATACTGTTTACGGTACTTACCATGATTTGATTGACGTAGAACTTCTGGGCTGTATATAATAACATTCCCGGGCCCGACCAGTTGCAATCACGATGTAGTCATCACTTTATGAAGAGTGGAATAAGACCAGTATGGTAACTATTTAACAGAATATAGAATGCGACTTGCTGCAAAATTTGTTTATTGAATCCGCCAAACAACAAGGTTTTTGTGAAAGAGTAGTGCGATTGAACCTACTACGTTCTATTCATAGGGAAGATCCGAGAAATGAAAATGGCGGGGCATGGTACTTTCGAGTGGACAAGGCAGATACGGCGTTTGTCTGGAGGGAGTTGTTGATGCAGCTAATAGGAGAGCAGTTCGAAGACTGTATTGCAGAGGACGATGATATTTTCGGATTGTCAGTTTCATCACGTTATAATAGCGACATCTTCACAATGTGGAATCAAAATGCGAACGCAGGGAATTTGTCAAAAGTACTAGACAAGTTGCTTGAAATTCTTAAGCCGGTTCAGCTTCAACTCCCATACTATAAAGGTGAGTGAATCATGACAAAATGCTGCAGCTACATTTCAAGAAATATTGGCGCTAAGAACTATTCTGATTTCAGCACATAAGGATCATGCAACTTTCAAGAAATCTGACTCACCAGCTGCAAATGGGCAAACGTTGGGATAAAATGCTTTTCAATAGCTATTGTTTTGTGAGAATCGAGATATAACTTATGGAGAAAATATCTGTGACTCAAATACAAGTATTTATGATAAATGTACACATCTGATTAACATATTTAACGCAACATATAATATATTTTTCTGCACTCTGAAATTTATTAGAGATCATGGGTTTCTTGAATGGACTACGTATGCTTAAATTCACGTTAAGGGGATATTGCCAATTTTGGTATCATTCATCCGAAACTTATTCAACAAGCCACTTGGCAGATTGTAGGCAGCATTTTATTTGTATTTAATTTAGATGAATTAATTGCTGCCTAGATCATCAAGCTCTTAGAAGAAAATTGTCTATATTATGAAATTGATTGCAAAAATAATATTCCATGCGACTCTCGGATAAATCTCAAGCAGTCGATTCCTTTAGATATGCAATAACGTCATTTCGATCTTTCTCTTTCTTAAATCCTGGGAATGCCATCTTTGTGCCTGGGATGTATCTGACGAAAGTTGAACAAAAGAAAAGCGGTTAAGCATAGGAACTACATGTTGACATAATGCAAGACGAAATAAACAGCGCAGATGTTTTTACTTTTTAGGATTTTCGAGGTAATCGAATAGAGTTTTTTCGTTCCAGACAATGCCTGCTTGTTGATTGGCAGCAGTATAAGTGAAGCCAGATACAGTGCCGGATTTACGACCGAATAGGCCATGGAGATTCGGACCCACTTTGTTAGCGCCTCCTTTCTCAACCGTATGACACAAAGCACAACGAGTCTTGAAACTGTTCAAAGAGAGCATAATATTAGCTATTACATCAAATTACTCAAAGACAAGACACTATTAAATGTAATTAACATACAGTTTGGCGCCATTTGTGGCATCGGCCTTGGCTATTTGATAGTTGAATCATTGAATATCAGCATTAGTAACCTTGAGATGTTCGTTTAGACGGAATGTTGGGAAAAGAACTCACATGCGTCGAACGGCATTTCGAATTGATTAGATGGCAAAAACGAAATGTGCAAATGGTCTTATATTGAAAAAATTCAACAACCTACGATATTATTGGTTATGTCCCAAGTCATATTCCGGTTTTCCCCGGGTGAGTCTGGTATCAGGTTTCACGGCAGGTGTCAGTTTAGTTATTATTATAGTAACGTGACTAAACTCGGATATCCTTTAACTACTGTGACTAATCATGTATTAAATAATATGGAGAGTTCGAGACGACAAACATGCTATTAAAAGGTGTTAATGAATTTTGTTAGCTTTAGTGGAGATTGCTGGCTAAATCAGGAAATCGCTTGTGGTAACAACAAACAAATAATAATAAATCAACAAAAATTACGTCACTGCTGGGCTTCCTGGATCAATCTCATGTGTTAAATCACATGATAACATCAATTATTCTGCAAGTTGTGATCTTTTTGAATAGACTTTGTGCAGTGGCTATTTTCCAAAAGACGACTTGTATGCTTAGGATGTTATCTTGCTGAAACCTCAAATTATTCCAAGCATACCGTGTTTTAAATCATGTCCAAATTAAACAAACTGAAGTTTTGTTTATGTCAATCGACAATCGTGTATGGTACAAAGTAGTATTCTACTGTAGTTAGGGCTATCTTAACCAAATACCAGCTCTTTACATTTAGGTGCAATTAATGTTCCTGAAAGGATATAGCATGTATTATTGAATTTTAACAAAAAAAGAGGTTAGTCAATTAAAGCACATACTCTTACTATTACATCTACACTCCTTGGTAAGCTACAATAAACAATTATACAGCTCAAATCGAATAATTAACACAACTAACGTTCACCATTGAGTTTAACTTTTAGACTCAACAAAGTCTACAGGCTGTTTTTTTTTTTTCGAATTCCTTATGCTCATTATATTCACATATTTTAACATGAAATTTTGCATCTATTATTTGAGTACAAGATCATGTTTAAGTTTTTTGCAACACCGTATGTTAACTGTGAAAATCATCTTCAAGAAATTAACAGTATTAGGAATAACTGAATGTTCCAGCAAGGCAATGAATCCAGGTATACAAGTCGTCTTACTTAGAATTCTACAAAATGTCCTAAAAGTAATTAAATAATTTATGAGCATTATCAAAAGAGACATTAGGATTATGGATATCATAATAAACAACCGCGCATTTATAATAAAAAATTTTTGTTAAACTTTATACAAATATTTATTCCTGAACAATTGCAAACTCTTTTGCAATGTGGCACTGTAGATACCTCTTTGAACATTAATACCTTTTTGAATTATTAATAAGAGACTTTTTCTTGACTAGTTTTTATAGCTCCAAAAATTATGTATACTAAAAGAGTATTGTATAAACAAGTAGTAACCCTTGCGGCTACAAGATATAGCTCTTTTTCAAATACATGCCAGCAAATATAACAATATAAATTAAAGCCATAATTCCACAATCAAAACATCCTCTTAATGCAATAAACGGAGTATCAGTGTTACAGTATAGAACGTTTAAACTATCACGCATTTTCTCGGAAAAACTAACACTGTTTGCATTACACTTTATTCGGAATCTAAACTACTCATTCAAAAGGGTTTAACTCAGTCAACTTCAAGAGCTGTACGATGTGCGAAATTCTACTATTGCTTTGGCGCGGTTTTTACCCTTTTTTTTTTTTTGACCAATTGAGTCAACAAGAATAGGCTTCTTAATTAAGATGTTGCAAATTTCTATTTGTCAAACAATGTTTGCACATACGTAGATTACTGGGACTATAGTTCGCGAAGGTATGGAATCACTCTATGAAGTCCGAGAACAACAGCATTGAACTTGCTGGAAATAACACGACAAATGGAAGATCGATTATACAATAGCCACGGGTTGATTTCAATTAAGGCTAGTGATTGAGTAAATAAGAGGTAATTACAATAGTCCTAATATAGAACGACTATAATCACACTTTCCTACCAACTGAAATCGGGAATAAGATCGTACAGACAAGAAAACGGATTATTAACTGGCATTGTTTGTCTTTGACCTTAAGTTTTAAAGCTGTCTTCTTATAATTGATGACTATTAGTTACCAGCTCATTGTTTAAGTTAAATGATATATGCTTTAAGATTGTTTCCTATTATTTGGCGTTCTAAGGATACTATACGAATACTTGCCAGTATTTACTAATTTGCTAAAAGCAAGTCGGCTCTACACAATTCTTGATCGTAACTTTGGCAAAGCGATATTGATGTTTGCATTTTGAATTTCTTTACTTTATTACTTGAAAATCAACGATTGCAGTTATGATATTATATGACATACTTTTTATGCTTCAAAACCAATGTTGGTTTATTTCCTTGTTCGGTAATTTGCTAAGAAGTTCTATAGTATTTATAATATTGTCGCTACACTATCAATTTACGCGTCTATGTTGTTTACGCGTCTATGTTGTGATATTACAAATGGATTGATACTGTTTACTCTTAATACTCTATATTGTTTATGCTTCCAGCTATATTTATATCAGATAGAACTATACCTTTCAACAAGAAAAATAGAGGTTTATTTATTAAGAAACTGTCTTTTGATATCTTGGCTCACTTTTAGCTTTTCACTATCCTGATAATAATATGTCTACTAAATAGGATATTAACGTGGAAGGCGACGTTTCACCCTTTCTTAAGAAAGATGGTAATTACTTACCATATGGAAAAATTGTTAGACTTGAACCATAACAATATATTTTGTTTAGGCCTGCATAATTGATTATTATTATATATTATCAGAGTTGTGATTACCATAGGGCTCATGGCCAAATGGATAAGGCGCCTGACTACGAATCAGGAGATTCCAGGTTCGACCCCTGGTGAGCTCGTTTATATAAGGCTTGAACCGCCGACGAACCAAGTGAATACTTGGTGTTCTTTGTTGTCTTTTTTTTTTCTGTGGGGATATTCTATATAGAAGGATCATAAGATTGCGTGGTAATATGCGTAACATTTGCTAGAGTATTCTGCATATTCAGCCCAATTCATCGCGCCCATGCTAGAAAGCGAAAGTATAGTGGAAAAAGTTATCGTTCATTTTAGTTAAGTGTTTTTAAATTTTTATGTATTTTTTATTGTTTTTGGTTTTTTGCTTTCACCCCAACAACTCAATATTTTTATACAAGAACTTTCGAAAATCGAAAGTTTTTTTTTTTTTATATACAGTTTTTTAAGACCATAGCAATAGGCAATATTCGGACAACCGAAAGAACACTACTACTACGAACAATGAAAAATAACATATACATAAAACTATAGGTATAAGAAAAAAGAGACAACCGGTGGCCCATAAAATAATCAACCAAAACCAAAGCTGAACCCAAACAAAGACCAAACATGATATACCAGGATGACCTACACACACAAACACACAATCGAAGGACGATACTGATAATCATAAGAACAATAGATCAAAGTATCGTCTCTGCGATCCTTCTCCAGCGAAGAAAAAGGGACATCGTATATAAGGAGGAACTAATTCGAAAGTGTCCAGGAACTTTTACTTTTCGAATATAAAAAAAATTCATACTGTATTAGAGACTAAATACATGCCATGAATAAAAAAACTGATTAAAGACTTTTTTGCAATGTGAATGTAAGATGCGTGTTTGTGTGTGTGTAAAATCTGTACATTGAGAAGAAAATGATTATGTATAAAATGAAGAATATACAATTCTATTGAAAATTATGCTAAAAACTATAGTTAAAAACTTATCATATCAGTTTCTTTATTATAATAAGGGATCTTGAATTAAGGATGTGCATAAAGGCATATGTAATTATTAAAAAACGTTAAGAAGAGTCTAAAGGAGGAGCCTGCTCCAAATCAAAGATGAAGCTAGCCATTGTCTGAACAAAAGACCAAGCCCCATCTTCGCTCTCCGAGAAATCAAAAAGTCGATTTCAAGGCCGCGAGAGCTTTGTTGGAGATAAAAGAAACTAAAAAAGTATATTATAAAGTTGTTTTTGAATAAAAGTTTAGATTTGAAATATTATAACTTTGGAAATTCATCCCCTTCTGACCAACTCTTCTTATAATCATGCTATTCTTAGATGTTGGTTTATGATATTAATTGTTTGTTTCGATGATTATTTGATTCTATTAAAAGTAAGAAAAGAACGATTAGTATGCAAGTCTCGCGAGTGGTATCGACTATTAATAACAGTACAAAGCAAAAGTTCAGATATCTCACCTTATATGCATAAAAAAAGAAAAAAATATACGAACAAAAAAAATGATATTTAATGAAAAAAGTCGAAGTATGCAATTCGAAAAAAAGTAAAAAGAAAAAAGAGTCCGATAATCAATCATCCGCGAACGATATTATGAATATTCCTCGAAGTAATAATATAATAATATATATGTATATATGGTACTGAATAAAGTAAAATAATAAAAGCAATAATCGATTAGTATCTTGTGTGTGTTTTCATACAATCATACTGCATATTCTTGATGTTATAGTATACCAACCTTGTGACTAGTAAGTATCATACTTTACGTAAGGCGCCGAGTAGATACCATCTCCCTCATTTGATACAAAGTTCATATTCATGTCAAACTCGTCGAATTCCACCACATCGAATTGTCCATCGTTGTGACTGTCAAACACACCATAATCAACCTGCGGAACCTGGTTCATTATCTGCGACTGGTCGAACCCGTTAGCCGACATGTAATAGTGATATTGTGGAAGTTGAGCGTCCAATATTCCTATGGACTGCGGTGGTGAACTCACGAGCGTAGAATTGTGATAGATTAATCCTTGAGGAAGCAATTGCTGAGAAATATTCGGACTCTGAGGATACATGTCTGGCGAATCGGCTTCGTTGGATATGGTAGAAACACGTCGCTGAGACTGGAATGAAGGCTCGGAAGAGGATTCCATGAGATGAAGCTTGTCGGATGCGAGTGTTGGAGTCGAGCCACGACGAGTAGGCGTGGGGGCATCTCTTAATGGAACACGTCGTTTTCGCTCTTGAGGGCGTCGAGGGCGATAACGGTATTCAGGGTACTTTTTCATGTGCTCCTGTTTGGCATCCTCTGCCATTTTCTGGAACTTGTGACGTATTTCGAGCGGTTCTTCATGCCACATGCGACCGATTTCCTTTGAGACTTCGTTATTTGTGATTCCAGCATTCTTTGCTACGATGGCGGGTTGCTTTGCACGACGGTAGAGGATAAATGCATTCGGCGGTCTCGGGGGTTTCTTCACCTTTGACTTGCCATTGGGCGAGTTTCCCTTTGACTGTGGACCAGTGACACCACACGGAAGAGCAAGTGTGGGTAGACGGACATCGGTATCTGGAAGCATGCGTGGCACGTTCAATGGAGCCGAAATCTGCTTAGCAGTCTCTAGTAGATTCGTGACCGTTTGTGCTTTCGTGTCATTTGGGACCAGTACGGGTTCAAAGCCTTCGGGTATAAAATACAATGTGCCTTTGCGTTTTTCGTAGAGATCTTGAACTTTGTCGTACGAAACGCTTTCAAAATTGGGTAATAGAACAGCTTTAGAGTTTTGTGTGGACTGTTGTTCCTCCTCCTGCACGTCGTCGTGGGCAAGGTGGTCTGTCGAGTCTACGTCGCTCTGAGCGGCTGGTGAATGAGGTTCAGGTGAAGAAGCGTCGATACTGTCTTCTTCATGGTATATTTGATGATGTAAGTTCATGGGGAACGGCTCTGCTTTAAGAGCTAGAGACATTTAGAAAATATCAATATAGTTGAAAATAATAAAAATAATATGCTTTTCTAAAGATACCAACAGCTTGTCCCGACATGAAGTGATTATTTATATTTATAGGAGAAAAAATTTGGGTGGTACAAATTAAATATGAGCGATTATACAATAATTTATTTATATATTTATTCTATTCAAATTTTAATATAATATTATTTATCTTAACAGTATTACTAACCTAGATTATGTATTAATATATATATACGTCATATGCAACTAGGTTGTGTCACACTTAGCGGCCGTCAGTAAGCCGAGTACATCAGTTTTATTACAAATTTTTACTTGCAAAAGCATATTGCTGTTTTTAACTGCTAAAATATTCGTTCGAGAAATTCATTTTCTTCCCCCCCCCCCCACTCACCCCCGTAGACAAAGATTAAAAGCCATTAAACATATGAATCGGCTGGCACTAGTCAGATTCGGCACAACCCGCCTCAGCTTTTTTTCGAAAGATCATGACATCTAATGCTCATGTGACCTAAACAAATGCAGGAGGGAAAATTTTTAAACTACTTTCGATGATATAGTATAAATAATATATACTGATGAAGTGGTGGTGATGAAAATGATAAAGAAAGCTTGTTAACAAAAGTCAAAAAATGTCATGAATCATTTCATTTCATTACGTGGATACTCTTTGGTTAGTCTTTCCATAACAGACTAGTCATAAACATCCGAAATCCATTGTCATCTTGAATCCGGTTTGTATTCATATCCTAATCCATCTTTGATATTTATTCGACCCCCCCTCTCTATTTCAAATCCTCGGCTAAAGCATGCCGTAGATTAGAGGAGCAGCAGCAGCAGCAAGCAGCAAGCAGCAAGCGTGTTATTTGTGTGGAGATTGGCTATTACGATAATAGGATAGCATCATTGTGAGGTAGATTATTAAGGCAAACTTGGCATGCATAAAATTTGGGCCGTCGGATATCAACATTATTTTGACATGTGTGTTTTTGTCTATTTCGCAAGAGGAGCAAGTTTGAAAGTTGGGATGAAACAGGCACAGGAGTCTTTGGTTTTTTTATTCGGCCATGCCAAAATGTTTTTGATCTCATCAAAAAAGTCAAATACCGTGTAATTTAGTTTTTCTTGTACTTCCTAATAAAGTCTTGTTTATCTCTCCCCACAAAAAGCTTCGTAAACAACCTACCAAAAAAGTATACAAGATAAGTTACATCGACTATTATTAGTATTACAGAGTCAGATTTCCGACCTAGAAATTAAATGATTTTGACGATATTTGTTTATTGTTGTTATTGTCTTGTTTTGGGCCAGCAGGGAAATTCTTGTTTAGTAGAGGCAAATGTTTCAAAGAGGGCAGACTCGCAATTAGCTCATAGTATCATTATTAAACCGTTTATTAACATTCTTGTTGATTATATTTGTTAATTGCGTTTATAGTCAAAAGCTATTTTTAAATTTTATACTAAATTTCGCATTTATTACTCCGGACACGGATATCCGAACTGCTCTTTTTTTTTCACCTGCTTTTTGCTAAGCATAAGCAAGACAAGCAGGCAGTGCTACTTGCTTGATACTTATCACTGCCCCCTCCATCGCTTGGCCATTCCCTCGTACAACCAACCCTTGATTGTATTATTGATCCCCTGTAAATCACCGGCCGAGCATACAGGTACACTCCCGAATTAGGAATGACATTGGTATATCACGGGCAAGTGTCGGTAAGAGCTATTGACGAATAAGGAAATTTTAAAAATTATTATGATTCATAAATATTACATCATTATATTAATAATAGAATGACCACAAATTAGTAATAGCGAATAACGATCAGCTGCAATGTACTATACATACTATCAGCAGACAGCTGCATAGACACAAAGACTTTCCCTATCTCTCTCTCTCTCTCTCTGTCACTTTCTCTAATCTTCCATCTGTATCCCAATCATCTCACACGCACACATACACACACACATACGCATACAACGTACATATACACATATATAGACACACATACACACAAACATGTTCTTTGAAACCAAGTACGCCACCTCTTCAGCTCATGGTCTTGCATGAAACATCAACCATATGGGCATCAATGCATATGGGCGGCAACAACGTAGCGACCGACGAGGCCAATCGCTCCTTCCTCTTTCAGTAAACGGTTGTCCTCTTGTCCGTAACATGGAAATCTGCATCAGCGTAGGTAATCATTTCATCTCTCAAGCTGTGCGCCACCCTGCATTCCCACTTATTGATTTCCACATGTCACAGTCATCTGAGGGCTGTTTTCTTTGTTCTCTAAATACCATATAATTCCATTCAACATTTGACACTTCATGTCATTTGATTATAGCAAATTGTAATTCATTCTATTCTTGGCTCATGTCCGAGAATAAGGATGTTTTCATATATGAATGCGTTACCACTCACAAATATTACTGTGTACCCGAGAGGGTGTCACTGCAGAAATGTAGGTTTTGGGACAAGAGAGAGAGGGAGGGAGAGAGAAAATGCTAAAAAGAAGGAATGGACTCGACGAATGAATGATGGGGAGAGGATAAAAAGGGAGATGTGAATAAGGGAATTTATAATGATTAAAGAAATGCTTGGACATGGAAAGAATTGACTGTATGATTAAGGAGTATAATGACGCAAACGCAGACGATAGTCCAAAAACGCATTTACTATATTAAGAGCGGATAGACTATTATGGATATGCCGCGGTACGAGCTAGCTAGTAAGCTATCGTTTGCTATGACTGGTGTAATGTTTCAATTCTTAATGAACTAGGCAATTTTAATGCTTCGTAAAACGACTATCAAGTCGATGTTTCCATACTTTTTTTTTCTCTTCCAAACACACACCCCTTATTCAAATTTCTTATTTCAAATGAATTGACAGTTGACAGACGCAGTGTCACATTTCTGCTTGGTCAGCTGCTTCTTTATTCATTGTCTTTCTTTCTTTCTTTCTTTCTTCCTTTCTTTCTTTCTTGCATACATGCTTTTTTTTTTCTTAAAACTTTAGATCACGAGTTAATCAATCATCGATGTTGAGAATCAATGTCAAACCTTAATTTTAAAATTTGGGTGCTTATGAAAACAAATTAAACAAAGAATCATCCCAATGTGCAAGGTTTGTTTAATCAGATGTTGATTATCGTTTTTTTTTTTAAATAATCAGCATTTTTGTGTTCGTGTGTGTGTATGTTGTGTTTTCGTGTGTGTATGTTGTGTTTATTTCTATGCGGCTTTTCTACGACGAATAAACATTCCCATCATTGATATGATATACGCTTATTTTTTTTGTTGCATGAACGAGATGACATTATAAACATTGACACACACATACAACCTTATGCAGATTGACGGAAAAATAAGTATATACGGAGACAAAAGATATAGAGATGGGGATGACTTGGATGGATGGGGGGAATATGACTTGATGAAAGTGGCGTAGTTGATGTTGTACCAGAAAGACAGGGGTTGTTACAGAAAAATAAGGAGCTATGAGTCAGGTACTATGCAGAATATGGTATTAACAAAAGCAATGAAATGTCGTAACTTACAATGAAACTTGCCAAATATATATAAATCCGATAACCTTAACCGCCTGATCTAATATGACTCTTACAATAAGAAAAACAGGTTTACTTTTACCATTTAAGCGGGAAGAAGCGCCATTTGTCTACTAAATCAATCTCTTGCCAGTCAGCCACATAATATATCAGTGATACCAAAAGTATAGATAATCATCCCCTTGCTAGGCGGGAAAACCGACAAGGAAAAAAAAAATTATATTACCCAAATGTTTACCCAAAAATGTTTCCCCCAAACGTTGAGCATCTTTTTTTTTTTTTTTTTAAATTTCAAGGCGGAATTTTGTACCTTGGTGAAATAAAGTCAATTAATTGCCTTATATGGAAGTAGCCAAAATAAGGGGTACTTTAACGGGTCCTTTCAGTAAATCTCCAAGAACTGTTGCTACGTTACCTTACCGTTACACTTGGAAATAATCTTATTTCGGCAAATAAGGAAGCAGCAAAAAAAAAAAAAAAAACTCCCCTTCATCGTTCATTGGGGGAGGGCGCAAAAAAAAAGAAAAAAAGAAAAAAAGAAAAAAAGAAAAAAGAAAAAAAAAAGTCACTTTGTAAATGAAAAATTTTGATTCCCAACACCGTGATGGATTGTGCATGGGTATACATTAAAAGATCATCCCGAACATCTTTTTTCCTCTCCTTATCTTTTGATTTGTCCATACGAAAAGTAAATAAATCCTTTTTTTTTTTTACTTCCTATCTACAAACCTGTTATGGAACCAGTATCGACTAGGAATGGTGGCTTTGATGTGGAAATGGGTATACATGAAGGTTGAGCCGGTGTGCGAACATTGAATGGTCATGGGTCCTAAACTAGGAGAGCGAATTCTTAAACCGTACTCTCTATACGATTATATCCTTATTAGGTATTCAATCAATGGTCACTATGAAATATCAACAGTGCAAGCATCAGACATTACATCAAACATTTGCGTCAAATATTGCATCCCATAGCATGCAATCTTAATCAGTCATTCTCAACCATTCGCTTATCACTCACTGACGTCTTTATTAGCCTAAATAGTCGTACACTTGCCAATCCTCTCTAATTGATTATGAAACGTCCGCATGAAAATAGACAACATCTTGTACCAAACAAGTAAAACTTCGGTTCTATGCAGAAAGTACAGCCGGTGTAAATCGGTGCCAAGAATTGATAGATAATCGGAACAATTTCTAACTGGAAATCGTACAATGGGGGGGAGAATAGACTATTAAAGTAATATAATAATCGAATATGGTAACTCATTATATTATCTTGTTACTAATTATTAATTATAAACTATGGGTTTACAATACTCAATACATCTCCTTTTTGTACAAATCGTTATTTATATTTCCATCCAATCCCATTCTGCTTACCCTTTACTAAAAACTCTAACCATCAACAACGTCTGAACGACCAACACTTCTGTTCAGACTGTTGCACGCATCTTTTACCCCACACTCTGCTCAGAACAATGACAAAATCTTTATGCACGATGACATTATTTTCGCTAAATCAGTAAATTAAAAGCCGGAAACGTAAAGTAAAAAAATTTGTCATTAGAGTTATTAGCAAAGATGACACACAATGAATAGTGAGGGCGGAGGAGGTGGTGGAGGAGAGAGGAGGAGAGAGGAGGAGATGGAGACATACAAGACATATGTTAGTGTAGACGCAGCAGCATTAACATTCTATTGGTTGTGTATGATGTCATTTATACTTATAAATATATCTTTGAATTGAAAATTACTTGATGCTATTGCGTAATGCACTATATTAACTCAAATACTATTGCCATATAATTATTTCTTTGTAACTCCATTTTCAGCCGAAACAGAGGGACGCCACACAATGTCTGTGGGTCTTGTCTATGATTGGTGAATAAAGGTGCAGGCGTATCTGTATCGGGATAAAACCCTTTTTCCATTTGGTGCATTAACATGTTTGTGGCTGTACTGATGGACCAATAAATGGCGAACAAATAAATAGATTCTCATCTAAATTACTTTTATTTCCGTATTCCTGTCATCAAATATGTCATTGACAATGGGCAGTGGATGGGCGATCAGGTGTGGCATTAGTGTGGGGTCGAATTTTCCCTGGTTTTATCGACTTATTTGGTCCGTCTCTTGATGATTAATAATACTTTTTTTATTCTATTATTTATACACTGTAATACTGTAATACATATTCTATATATGTGTGTGTGTTATGTATATATAATATCCTATGTATTCAGTACAATTAATGTATTACATTTATAATATACCCGATATGCGCATATCGTCGATTGCCCACTTTTTTCTTTACTCATTATCATGCATACACACACATATATATACATACATTGACAACTCGGCTATGCAATGGATGTTCCTATATAACCATCTACTATACGAAAACGAACGCACGAGCGAAAAAGTCTTACAGGGGCAACCAACAGCCATACAACTTCCATACACCCATACAACACCCATAAAACACCCATAAAACAGCAATAAAACAGCCATACGACACAGCTTAATTCCCAATTTGTCTTGTGCATTCAACCAGCTCCCAAAAAAAGATATTAAAAAACCTACAAGGGAACATTAAATAAGTACCGTATCCAATGTAACGATCATATCTATCATACTGATAGATGTGATTGATGATGCCGATTACTCAAATTACCTCGACAATTACTTATACCCTACTATTGTGAACGCAGTTACTGGATAATAATATATTCAAGAACAATATTAATATACACTTTTCGTTGCACGGAGTTAGAAAAAAAGATGTTCCTTATGGTCTAGCAATTACTTATCTGTATTCCCCCATTGCCCCATCTCCTTTATGATCTATTCATGGACTAATCATGTGGAAGAACAAACAAGGTAATTCTTTTGATTGTAATTAACGCGAAGAACGACATCTGCAAATAGACTGTATGGATACTGTGTGGGTGCTGTGCGTGTACTGGTGTGTACTGGTGTGTACTGGTGTGTGTTGTGCGTGTGCTGTGCGTGTGCCGTGTGTATGCGCAGAACTTTTTAATTACATGCAGAGATAAAGATCAGGGAACGGAAACAAGAATCAATCGGAATCAAAATTGGAAGGAGAAATGGACCGGGTTCATCGATAAAAGGTTGACTGGAGAAGCAGTCAAGGTCACAGTATACTTATCTGATTGTTGCAATTAAAAAGAATTAACAAATGATGAATAGGTTTATCCAGATAACAAGTGGGCGAAATGTGGTTGGTTATGTTGTAATGTATAAGGTTAAAAAAGTCAATTATAATAAGAGAATGCGTTTTCATAGACACGACAGCTGCGTCACGATTTCCAATGGGACAAAAACAACCATTCTCACTCACACTCATACTTTCACTCAAACTCACACTCAAACTCACACTCACACTCACACTCACACATTCTCACTCTCACCCTCACTCACATACTCGCTCTCATTCTCTCTTTTTAACGCAAACGCGTATTGATTGATTAGGTCTAGTCCGTCTGCACGCAGGCCAATTGGGTTAGTTGTTTATACATGATAGGGACACAGTGAGTACGATTGCGCAGGTCGCGTTACAGAATTCGGCTGTTTCAATCGTAATTGTCGCTGTTGGTCTTGCTCACCACACAGTGAGCTAATGCCGCTGCGGCCAATACCACTGCGGCCAATACCATACCAGTATGGCTATTATTATAATAACTCCACTTGCAAAACAGTCGATATAAATTATGTAGGTACATTGATCACAAACTTTATTAGACCCAGTTTTTAGGTTGTAAATCATACAATATACCTAGAAATCAGTTGTAACGTTTCAGCGATTTCGTCAGTTCACCGGCTACTGCTTTTACCCACGCCCCGACTCTACCGTCCCAAATCTCCGTGATTATCAGTAAAATTCCGCACGACAATGAAATGGAAAAAAGTGAATTGGAGAACCGGTTTACAAGTTCTCACGGCGAGTCGGTTACTTTTCCACTTGCGTGAGACAGAAATAATGGGGGAAATTAAATTAAATTGATGACTAGCGGGTATATACGAGTATACAACAATGCACAATATTCACAGTAGAGCAGAGGCACAGCACACACAGCACAGCGCAGCACATCGCAACACATGTCCACTCACCCAGTCATCATTACGTTTAGTCATATTTTCGCTTGATAGCGCAATAATAAAGGGGAGAAGGTCAGGGGTGAGTGAAAAAAATCGTCTCGTAGTAGAGTTGCATGTGTGTCTTTGTGTGCAACAATTAATTGACACATTCAGTGACAGGTCAAAACATGTGCAGCTTAATGAAATGCATATTTAACATGTATATGAATACTTTATAAAATGAACGAATGAATAGATTTACGTAATACGAATTATACGGATATATTTTATTGTTACTTTATAGAGTTCCCGTAAAATACTACAGTTACCCAGGAAATACAGCACCATTTGTTCGAAAGTTCTCTAACCCTAAAAATAAACACAACGCCCATAAATAAACTTCTTTAAAATGTGTGTCTGTACGCCTTTTCATTCGGCAGCTGATGGTCTGACACGGAATTTACCCCACACTGTTACCTAAAATGGGCCAGAGATGTGTGAACAATCGAAGCGAGGATGGTATTGTTCATTAAACATTAACCTTGCAGTATAACGAGTTCACAAGGACTGCTGAAATTTGACAGGTCGGACGAAAAAGAATCAGAGATGCTCAGTCCGAAGCTGTGTGTTTTGTATATTTGATCAGATGTGGCCCGTTAAGTGAGGGATTGGCGGTGAGTCAGTCCTAAGTGGTGGGAAGTGGATAATGAAATGTGGCATTGATTGATAAGCAAATAATACTGTATTAAGATTAAGATTACTTACTTATTCCTTATCATTGTTATTATGCTTATTTTGAACACAATAATTAATTCCGACAAAGAACATCGTCCTCAACAAAAGAGAAACAAGGGAAAATACAACTTGAGCATGCATAAACCTAACAAAGGAAATATTAACGCACTATACTATAAACATCGTATCCAGCAAGTATTTTCTTAGCGCATGCGACTATACAGAAAGAAAGTGCAAGTCCCGACTAAATAAGGTATAATTAATAAGCAGATTATGAATCAGAGACACCGATCGTACCTTATCGTACATTCGTCCAAGTATCACAACAAGAGTCTAGATGTGACGGTCTTGATTGTGTGAACATCCTGCAATTAGACCATCACTTGCCGATTACATATTATGTTATCATGTTACCTTATCATCAGATGTTTCAGTTACCCACTCAGGTCAGCCTCACATGAAATCCGACTAGGTAGGGGGGAAGTGTATAGACTGGTGTATAGACTGGGTGTATTGACTGGGTGTATTGACCGGTAGACTGGGTGTATTATTGATGCTATTGTATGTTATGTTTACTGATGTATTGATGTTATTGATGTTATTGATGTTATTGATATTACCACAGATTACTAACGTATCACTTATTGGTATTACTATTAGTGCTAGTTATATTATTCATATTGTTATTCTGTTAACCCAAATACACCCCCCCACCCATCTCCATCCCCCATATTTCAAAATATCCATAATTGGTTGTTTCTGAGAAAAAGCACGGTAGCTTATTTGGTATCAGGTTTTACGCGAGATCAACACGCAGTTAAAATGAGTCATAGAAAAAGTAACATATTCGCAAAATGAATGACAGCATCACAACACCGAAAGACAATACAATCAGAATGAATAGAGAAACTGTATTTACAATCAATTCATTGAAAATAAGGCAAATAAATATTTATATTTGTAATAAATAAACTGACATGACAATATACAAATATACAATACGATGGATAATACATTCAACTACACACCCCCTCAATGTTACTATTACGTATAAATTATATTATACAACCTATTCTATATTGTATATCCCATAATAATAACCACAACCAACCAGCCAACCCCCTCACATCCCCCAAACCGTTTTGAATTTCTTTATTATCGGAGAGTACATATATATTATTTTTTTTATGTCATGTTTACAATCTGTGACCTTCGTTTCCCTTATTCTCCATATTACAACATTGAGCAACCATTATGAAAGCTGTCAAAATTGAAGCTTTTCCTCTTTTATTACCTTTTGTCTACCTTTTCATCATTCCATCCCCCAATTGGCATCAACAACATGGTTTTGAAAGGGCGCAACACTGTGAATACAGCTCATCAACAATAGCACCAACACTGTCTTATATAATACCATCTGTATAATAGATAGACAATATTAACTGCCAAACCCCCCCCATTTAGTATTATGCTAATCAATATTATTCTAACAGTAGAAATAAAAACATTTTTCCCCTTTGTTTGGTTTGAAAGGAGGTGCCTGCCAACTTTTTTTCAAACAAACCTCCTTGCAACTGTCAAAATGCTAGTTACGGTCATTAGCATTTACATTCGCCGAACTTGGCTCTGTATGACTGAAACCATAAGGGAAATAGCTCTAAAGAACTAAAACTCTAACGATGACTCTGACAACAATCCTAACAACAATCCTAACAATCCTAACAATCCTAACAACCCAACACCATTAACAACCTTAACCATAACCATAACCCTGACTGACTAGAACCCTAACCATCTGTCAAATATATATTTTTCTCGCGCAGAAATTTCACATCTCCAAAGTTATCTGATCATCTTATCAGATATCACGCGATTTGACAACAAAGTAGGACGAATCAATGTATATAAACAAAGAAACGTTGTGCTGTATGCCCAAAAAGGCGACTGTTAATACCCCGTGAGTTGGGCTAGGGCAAAAAAAGGAAGACACGAGCCCTGTCACTGTCCCTTTTCAAGAGAAGGGATTAACAAATGCGATCGATCAATCTTTGTTTGTTCGTTTAAATTAATGCACGCTAAAACTTACAACAGCGCAACTGCACTTTTTTGGAATTACAATCGCGACAGCCTCTTTTCACCCATGTATCTGTATTAGTCATCGATCACCATTGTTACTATTCTAAAAGTAGAGCCATTTATTGAGACGAGGTGCACAATATCTTGAACTATAGTCGGCGAAACGACTAGGAAATGTTTTTTTTACGCGAATAAAAGGTCATTTCCCATGCAAATATTTAGAGACATTGAGATATTAAATAAAATATAATCTGTGTGAAATACCCGTCTTGTTGTGGTGAAAGCTTAAAATGCAATAAATATTGCTTGTTACAAACTCACGCATGTCGAGCATCAAACACGAATAAAAAACATGTTACTAGAAAAAGTTGGTGAATAAATACACTAAAAAAAAAAGTCTGTAATTTGAGAAGGTGATCAAAAGAATTAGATTATACAAACTTTTATCCCGTCTGTCGTGCTAAGCAGGTTTGCTCATTGGAAGTATTATCATTCCAGGTATAATGAGAAAAGCCATTGAAAGAGATAAAGTAGAAATCAGAGCTATACAAGAGCTATCAACTATATCCTAAAGTTTAATAGAATTTAATATGACAACAGCAACTGTTTCATTAAATATTGCAAAGGCATATAAAGGCAATCAATACGTATCTGAATGGAAAGACTATATACTCGGCAAACGTTTGAATTTTGGTTTTGAGTTGTCAATCTTGTTAGTAGTCTATTATTTAACAATTTTATAGTATATAAAATCCTACAAGACTTAAATTTTGCAGATGCTAATACGTAAAAACTGTTAACCCTAAAATTTTAACTTTTATTACCCGGTAAAATATAATCTGAATTAAAAAATTTCTCAAAACGGACGTGTAATAAGTTCTGCTTTATGGAAAAATGCCAAACCAAAGTTTTAAGTAGTCAACTAGAAATAACACCAATTGTGTAAAGACTGTCAACTGGGGGAAAACCAAGTACTGTTACATATCATAATAACATAAACAATTTTGCATATCTGGGGCAATAATTTCATATGCATGGTTGATGTACGCGACTCGAATTAAGGAAAATTTGCTAATAGGTTTTTTTTTCTTTTGACATCATAAACAATTCCCTCTTCTCCGACTGGTAAGTAAAGAAAAGAGTCAACATAATTTTGGGCTTGCTACAAAAAACGCATTTGGGTTTTTTTATTGGTTCGCTTTATGTCCGGGTTTTTTATGGCTTTTATGTATGGGTGCGTGGCGTGGCGTTGTTTTATGCATGTGTTTTACCGGTTTTACGCGTGTGTTTTATGCCGTTCGTCGGATTCGAAAGTGTGGACTGATTGCCGTAGAAGGCTGAGAATCTATCTAGCTAAAGAATGTGAAAGCAGAGGATTGGCTGGTAAGTGCACTACATTGTAATGTATAACTTGTTTAAAGTAATTAATATGTGTTAAACGCGACCGCAATACCCAATACAAGGCTATTATTATTGTATGTTAAACAATTTGCTGATGTACTAAAATTGGACCATATTAAAAGTTTACCTTTACGTTCTACTAACAAAAATATGAGCGTCTATAACTTTTACTAACCCCCGCGATCACATGCAGAATAGACATAGTTAAAGTGCAATATGCCAAAACCATAATGTTTTATGAGTGTAATAAATTTTTGCGTATGTGATAAAAAAATATCAAGCAAGATTAAGATTGAGCACAAATAAAATGTAAACGTTTCAAAAACTAATTCTCGGCCTTGACGTCTTGGTTTAAATTTAGACAATATAAAAGCTAATCACAAGAAAATTATTGTTTCAAATATTTAACTTGTGCAGAATCATTAAATTTAGATAATTGGCACGGTTTTCTACAATTACAATGAACGGGAATTTTATGTTTAAGGTGACATTTTGAGCGGGTAGTAGCATGGTTCAGTAAAGAATAGTTTGCTTAAAAAATCGTTTACAGAATTGCATTTGCGAGATTTCAAATAAAAGCTCTTTTATTACAGATACTTGCAATTAAATGTTCATGCTACGTGTTAACATAGAGATGTTGTGTCTGAGTTTGGGACCTGTCTCAGTTCGGAACCCAGTCACTCAGTCCAGAACTGAGACAGGTCCCCAACTGAGGTACAACAGAACTAACCAACCATGAACATTAATAATCATAGATACCCATTATCTGCTAGTGGTGCACCGTTTCGCATACAGAAGAAAGCAGGTAAGGTAAAGAAATTTGATTCACGGATTTATTTGGTCATATTATTCTAAATATGTGAATTTGAGACTACCACGCCTAATCACACAACACTCTTTAATCATGCTTGACTTAGATTAAGTGCAGTCTTTATTATTATGCATCAAACCATAACAAATTATCATCCAAAATTTTATATAACTAACAATAAATTGTTCCTTTGAATTCGTATTGTTCTAACCGCGGATGTTGGTCGTCCATAATTTTGCAAATATCAGACTTTCTATGCCTAGTTTTGTATAGTCTAACGTATTTTTACCCATTATTAATATCAGACCATTAGTGGTACTGTGGTATTTATTTATAATTTTAAATTACGCGTACACAAGAAGCAGAGCTTTTAATTGGTACCAAAAAACAATTACTTGTTATGTATGTTTTTAATAATAAAAAAAAAGAGACTGCAAACTTATTTTTATGGATAGTGTATAATCGACACATTGGTAACCTTATCTATACTCACAATTCTCATAAATTGCGTATACGTTAATCCTGGAATGTTAATTGACCTCGACTCCGTACGTCGATTTCTACCAGCGGAATAAAGTTCGACTTATCGGTTATATCTACACTAAACGCGCGTTATTGACAATTAATTAACATTCTTATTTGCCAATCTGGGCAAATCGATTATTC